GGGGGCGTTCCTGCGCGTGCGCCAGCGTCTGCGCCTGCGCGTGGGGCGGGGAGGGGGCAGCGCGCCCCCGGAGTACATAGAAGAGGTACCTGGCGCCCTGTCGTTATCAGGCTACCGCTCGTCCCGGTCCACGCGAGTTTCTCCGACTGCTTCTGAGCCATGTCGTCCAGCAGTCGCGTGGCGCTGGTGACCGGCGCCAACAAGGGCATCGGCTTCGCTGTCACCCGCGAGCTCTGCAGGCGCTTCTCTGGGGACGTGGTGCTCGCCGCAGCATCCGCGCGCTGCGCGACTTCCTGCGCAGGGAGTACGGGGGGCTGGACGTGCTGGTCAACAACGCGGGCATCGCCTTCAAGAGTAAGGAGTTGGGGCGCCCATAGGGTGGGCTGTGCCTGCGCAGGCGGTGCTGGGGTGGGGCCCCTCCAGCTTGTGGGGTGCAGAACAGGCTCCCTAGGAGGAGCAGGAGAGGCTGGGGGCTGCCTCTAGAGCAGAGTCCTCAGGGACCCTGAGGCAGACGGTGGGACAGAGGGATTGCTAGGCCATAGTTTGTCTTAAGGGTCTTTTCCAGGTTTTCCTCATAGAATTTAGCTGTTACTAGGAGTTAGGGCACTTGGGTGGACTTTAATTGAAATAAAGACACTAATATCTTGCTGTGGATCAGCTGTCTTCACGCCGCCTCCCCCAGTCCCGCTGTCTAAAAAGTAATAGAACATTTTAAAACTGCAAATTATACATTAGGGCGGTACCGTAAGTAGACAGACTTCTCTTGGAAGTGGCTAGATTTCTGTTATATTTCCGTGAAACTCCACCTTGTGGCTACTGCTTTTTGACTCTGCTCTCTCTGTAAAGTGGCAGATCCCACACCCTTTCACATTCAAGCCGAAGTAACCATGAAAACAAACTTTTTCGGTACCCGAGATGTCTGCACAGAGCTGCTCCCTCTGATAAAGCCAGGAGGTAAGTCTGATGCTACCTGCCCTGCCTGCGGCTCTCCACCTGCAGCTGAAGCTCCGCTCTTTTGTCCCCATGTCTGGGGCGGCCACTGGTGCAGCTGCCCTCCTGCTCTTCGCAGGCTTGACTCTGATCCTTCGGGTCCTGGATCAAATGTCTCCACACATTGGCTCTTTGTCTTTTCTGTGCTGCTCACACTTTCAGGCCCTTGAGCGTCCTAAGCGCCTTATGCTGAGTGATCTCGTTGAAGCCGGTGGAACTTCGTCTTCGACCAGCTTCTGCATCCCCAGCCCCATGTCTGTCATACGCCTAGAATGCTCCCGGAGCTCCACCACATACTTGTCTTTCTGCCTCTGCGTCTCTTCCTGGTGCCCCCAGTCTAAAATAGACATTTCCCCCCAAATGCTGGTCTTTCTCCCTCAATCCTCCAGGCCACCCACCGGCATCCTGGCAGTCACCATGGACTGCCCCCTCATAACAGCGCACCAGGTGCCAAGACTGTGCCCTCCGAGTGTCACCCAGCTCCAGCACCGGCCCTCAGCGGTCACAGTGCACCACTGCGACCCTCCTCAGAGGCTCTCTGCTGGAGTCACTTCCTTTGCCAGGATTCTGAACACCACTTGACCACTCCCCACAGAAAAACCAAACCCTGAGCATAGTTCATACTGATTTCCATAACTGGACCCTGCCTACCTCCAGGGCCATTTCAACGTCTTAGAATATGCTCCACTGACTCCGTATAAAGCTCACATTTCTTACTTTGGGGACTGCTCTGACACTAGATATTTGGAGAGCAGTTGAACTACCGCTCGTTAGAAACATGCCAATAGAAACAAGCAACTTTCTCAGTAAAATTGAATGCATGGCTTGAAGTGCAGCAATTGCACGTATAGCTTATTCTGAGCTCTCCTCTTGCTTCCTGTCCTGTCCCAGAAGGTTGTACTGCTTCTGAAACTCAGTTCAGGAGGATGTCAGATGGCTGTTCTTTCGAGCGCCAGTTGACTCCATTTCCCATCCCAAACCTGAAGGCGGCAGGAATGGAGTTCCTCATGCACCCTGATGCCATCTATGTGCATGCTTCTTATAACTATACTGCTAATGTCTCCCCAGTGGAAACTTTGTTCTCTAAAATTACAGCAAGAGCGTCACCAGTCTTGCGCACACGTCTCTACATAAGGTCTTGTGGCTTATTTCAGGCAGAGTGGTGAATGTGTCCAGCATGATGAGTCTCAGGGCCCTTAAAGGCTGCAGCCCAGAGCTGCAGCAGAAGTTTCGAAGTGAGACCATCAGTGAGGAGGAGCTGGTGGGGCTCATGAACAAGTTCGTGGAAGACACAAAGAACAAAGTGCATGAGAAGGAAGGCTGGCCCAACAGTGCGTATGGGGTGACCAAGATCGGCGTCACAGTCCTGTCCAGAATCCACGCCAGGAAACTAAATGAGGAGAGGAGAGGGGACAGGATCCTGCTGAACGCCTGTTGCCCAGGGTGGGTGAGAACTGACATGGCGGGGCCCTCAGCCACCAAAAGCCCAGAAGAGGGAGCAGAGACCCCCGTGTACTTGGCCCTTCTGCCCCCCGACGCCAAAGGGCCACATGGACAGTTTGTTCAGGAAAAAAGAGTTGAACAGTGGTGAGCTTACCTCGCAGCTGCACCCGTGGTTGCCATCTTGTACCATGAAAGGACATTTACATTGTCCGGAATATCCCTCCATAACAAAGAATAAAGATCACCACATCCCGGTCAAATATTCAGTACTAGCCTAACAGGGGTGCCCAGTGAGTGGTTACTAATTCTGTTATGGCTTTTGTGATACTCCCTTTGACTCGGCAAGAAGAAAAGGGAAATGGCTAGAAATAGTGAGTAAAATCTGAATAATTGGCTCCTTATGAATTCCGGTTGCTGCAGGTTGGTATGCTGAGCCTCATAGGTATAATCAGCATTATAGTGAGCCCACGAGAGGGGACAGTAAACTCGGAGGGAGCCAGGTAGCGTATTTGCAGCTCTGCAGGCTGCACAGTCTGTAGCTGTGACTCGGGACTGCCGTGGTGTGATGGGAAGTCACACCCCCATGGCAACCCAGGAATAGAGCTGGATATGAGCCATGAGCGTCGGTTCATCAGCCCTTTGGAAAACAACACCATGCAGGCAAAAGCAGCTGCCTGTTTTCTTTACAAGCCTGTAGAAAACAAAGGCTGTGTGTGACATGGGAGCGGTGTTTGTGTGGAACACTTGGCCATTTATGACTTTGAGATGAAAGAATGGCCCTTCATCCTTCATCCCCCTGACTGTGCATGAAAGACCACAGGGTCTGCAGTATTACACAATTCAGCTAAATGCAGGAGGTGAACACCGTAACACAGTGTTCAGAATTGCAAAGCTTTCGTGACTGTATGGGTGTCTGGTGATTTTTTCTTTTTCAGCTTTTTTTTTGTGTTGAAAGTTTGTTTGGTTTTTGGCTTAGTGGGGATTCAACCCCGAGCCTTCACGATGACCTACATCCCCATGGCTTTTTCTTTTTTGTTTTTAGGCGTGGTCTCATTAAGTTGTCCAGGCTGGCCTTGAACTTGCTATCCTCCTGCCTCAGCTTCCCAAAGAGCTGAGATTGTAGGCATGTGCCACTGAGTCCAGTTTGAGGCTTTTTAAGACATGGGAAGGCGGTAGGGCAGAGTACTCGCTCAACTTGTGTGATATCCTGGGTTTGATTCAAGACCTGAGCCAAATAAAAAGGTGGGTAGGGGAGATAGGAAGAAGTCCCTTGCTTCCTAAGCCAGGCCACACGTCAGTCCTGGGCCTTGCACACATTTTGTTCTTACAGTCCTGCATTCCCTTTCTGTCCTTTGCCCTATTGTACATCACGGCAAACTTTAATATCTTTCTGCTTTGAGGAGCATTCAAGTCATACAAGTTCTCCTGTCACAAAGGAATGAAAGTAGAAATCCAAAGCAACAACAAGCTGGACAGTCCTGAGTCAGCTGAGCCGCTCTTCCATATCTTTGATCAGAAACGATGTCAAGAGGAAATTAGCAAGCAGTTTGAACTGCCTGGAAATTTCAACGCAACATTGTAGGAGGTCTCTCGAGTAGTGTGGTACTTGGAGGGAATGATGTGCCACCTAATGTCCCTATCAGGAAAGAGGAATTCTCTCAGTTCTGACCAGATTCCACAGTAAGATAGGACCCTAAGAGCAAATGAAGTCCCAAATACGCCAAAGAAAGGAGATAAAGGTCAGGACAGAAAGGTAGAATGAGGAGAAAGGGTAGAGTAAGACGGTGATACAGACTTTGTGGACATGGGAGGGGAATCAGGATGGATGGAGGAGGAAGGGAGGGAGGAGAGCAGAGGGAGAAGTGCAGAGGATCGAAATGGAGCGCACCAGCCTCCCCTGATGAATGCGTTCATTACGTATCGCAAACATACAGTGCACTAGTCAGGTTCGGTCTGTGAGAGGCTCGATAAAATGCAGCCAGTTGAGACAAGGAGTGAGGATTCTGTGAGGCAGTAAGGACAGAGGCCTCAAAACAGTTGGGCAGCCCAAAGTGGAGTGGGCTGAGTCACCGCTCCCCAGGGATCTTCAAAACGTGTGCCAGCTGCTCTGGGACTGTCCCCAGAACACAGTCTGGGGGTGCTGGCTCCTGTGTGTAGGAGCGTAGGTCCTGCCTGGCTCTGCGTGAGCACAGTGTAGATCGGAGCCTAACAAAATAGTCTCCTATGGCGAGACAATAGCCTGAGCCTGAGCTCCCTTCTAAACCCCTTAGAAGACTCCCCGACCCCATGCGTATCCTGCTCAGAACCTGCTCCTGGCCAGTGGGAGTCTACTTCCTTGCCTTTATACCTTTTTCATAAATTTTCTGGTATTCCTCCCCCTTTGTCTGTGGTTTCCCTGTTGGAATCCCAGGGTTCCAATAACAGACACATCAAGAGACACAATGTAAAATACACAAATTTCCAGTATCAGGAGTGAAAGAAATGGCATGATTCCAAATTCTGTAAACACATGTTATGAATAACATGACCATGGATTGAACAGTTTAGGTGAGAGCGTCACATTTTCGGGAAAGATAACTGCACTTACCCAGGAAAAATTAGGAAACCTCAATAGCTCCATGGTTTTAACAGGATGTTTTAAACAATCTTTAGGAAGATAAGGAATATTGGTCAGGGCACAATGACAACACCTTAGCTGTTGACATAACTCAGTACAGAAGGTAGCGTTGGGAGGACAGAAGCACAGAAAGTTGGGCCAGCTCCAGTGGGGAAACGCTTACCTAGGATGACTGGTCAGTTCTTTACAAATCTCAAGCTACTAATGACAGCTACTCAGATTAAATTCATTTGTACAGCACTGAAGAATGTGGGTGGAGGAGCTCAATTGCCCTCGGGCACCTGGACGCACCTCTGGGAGTTCCTTTCCAGAGATCTGTTGTATGGATTCACAACTCTCACTCAGCAGTATGACCTTGGGGGAAAATGTAGTCCTTGGCAAACACACAATAAATATTCATAAACCTTCCTGCCTTTGTAAAAGTGTGCTGGAAATGACAGAGAAGTAAACTCTGCCCATACTTACCTAAGTTTCATATAGACTATTATTTTGAAAAGTCCCTGGAGGGGCTGGGGGTATAGTTTAGTGGTAAAAAACTTGCCTAGCGTGTGCAAGGCCGGGGATTCAGTTCCCACCACTAAGAGGGAACAAAAAGTCATTTGGGGCTAGGAAGTTCTTTCTTCTTTATCCCTCTCTTCCTCTCAGGTATACAGTGTAGTTTAACTTAAAATATACAACTTGAGCATGAGTGAGTCCATATTGCTTGGTTTGTTGGGGCCAATGTCAATTAATTGGTTCAGTCCATAGGGATGGATTTATAAATGTTATGTAATAGTTATACCCTCCCCCACTTTTTAAATGCTCAGTATTTAGGACATCATTCCTCTCTGGGATTTTCAGTCATTCTGGATTTAAAGTCCTGCTCATAGGTTATTGCAGAGAAACAATTTAGCATGCAGCTCATGGCTGAGCCTGAATGTGTAATACTTTTGGAGGAAATATAGAGTACCAGGGAAACCACACTTGACTATCATGACGGTAAGACAGTGCCAAGAGTTCAACATATGTCCCTGTCGCGAGCATCGATTTAGGAATCGGATCCCAAGCTGGGAGCTCTGAATGGCTCCCCGGCTCCGAGGTAATAAGGACTACAAGTGATATGTCTTTTAAGGAGGTTTATTGTCACACAAGCAAAGCTATATCAGAACAGATACCACAATGACCATAAACAGAGTATTCTAGTTCATACCTCTAACATTAAGGCAAGTATAATGTTAAGATATATCAGGATTATACGACCTGAGTCCGTGGCTTCGAGTGCTGGGCTGTCGAGCAGAGGTCCGAGCTGCGACGCGTGATCGGTCTTGGTTCCAGCAGAGCCTTCGGCGTCAGTTGGTCAAGTCGCGATGAGTGGCGACGTGTGACGGTCAAGCCGGGTCGCGTTGGACGACGACGACTGGTCTTGGGTTCGCCCCTTTTATATCCTTAAGGCCTCTTATCGCTTAGGTAGCACACTCACGATCGATTAACACATGGGGTCTACATTAACATATGGTTGATGACCTAATTGCTATCTACTACATACAGGGATGACTTCACTCTTTGGTTTCACTTTTGGTCTTATCTATCACTGACACTGTCAGCTGGGTTTGACAGCTTGGCCTGTCAGCCTGCAGCGTGGGGAATTTCCACTTGTTGCTTACATGTTCACTACAGTCCCTCAGCCAAGGTCCTCACGAAACAAACTGTTACAGTTTGGGTCTAGATATCTGCCCCCATAGTGTCATGTGGTCGTGGTCATAGGTAGCTTTTTCAGAGGTGGCTGAATCTAGAGTGTGTGATTCTGGGATCAAAGATGTGTGATTACTAAACCGATCCCATGACTGGTTTGGCACCAGCAATATCTGGGCATCAGATATTTTGTCCCAGCGATGACAGAAAAGTAACTGACACAAACGGACAAAGACAGTCAAAGAATGAGGCAGATGAGGAGTGTACCCATTTTAACCACTCACCCAATCTTTCATTCTTCTCACCTGGGTCTGTAATGCCTCACGTTATTCCACATGTGACAAGAAGCGTCAGCAACTGCCCAGAGCTCTTCTGCTGGGAACTGCTGGAAAGATTGACAATACAAAGCAGTGCAAGCGTGAACAAGGTCCCAAGGGGAGTTAGTGTGAACAAATGCAGCCAGTGTTGAGATACAGGGCTGTTTCCAGGCTGTTCAGTACCCAGCCCTGGAGTGGCTGAAGACACAAATAATCGTGGTGTCTGATAAAAGAAGTGGTGAACTGGTCAGTTGATTAAAATATCAAAGATGTACTTAGGGCAAGCAGTTTTCTATGACCTAGAATTCACAAACTCTGAGAGGGGGCTCTCTCCCCATCCAGCAAGACCCCCAAAATGCCAAAGCATAAAATTTGAAACTGATTAATACAACACTTTTGGACATGGGTGCAACTCAGCGTAACCTTTTACAACACACGGGACCCTTGGTTAAGTTCCTAACACTCAGTGACATCTCTTGGCACTTCCTTTTACTGCTTGTGGGAATGTGTCACGTTACGCTTATCTGTCATTTGGTGGAGATTTGAGTTATTTCTCCTTTTGGGCTAGTATAAATAATGCTACTTGAGCAAACATAAATGATTTTGTGTGAACATGTTTTCATTTCTCTCAGACATATGCTTAGGAGTGGAAATGTTATTATATGATAACTCTGTCTATTTGAGGGGCTGTTAGACTGTTTCTCATTTTAACTTCCCACCTGTAGTAAGTGCATGAGGGATCCAATTTCTGACACGTCTTCACCCGCACTTACTTTTGCCGGTCATTTTGACGGTAGCCATTCTAGCGTGTATGAAGTAAAATCTCACTGTTATTTTTGTTAACAGATTAACAGTCCTCTCAAATTATGAGAAACTCAATCCCTTTTGCTAGCCAGCATTCTGTAACAGATTAGACATCTGCCTGAACAGGTGTGCAGACCTCAAGACACCAGGCTGTTGCAGCAAAAGTGGGTGGTGGAAGAAACCAGGAAAACTGGTTTCAGTCACAAAGGGCACCAGCCACTTTGACCTACTATTCACCTCCAGGCTCATTACCAGCCCACTGTAATATGTTACCCTAGTAGGATTGTTACCCTAGTAGACATTGCAGTCTAGCCCATTTCTGACACAGACTAGAACTGACCCTTGTAAGAACTAAAGGAAGACAGTTCCTACACTTCAAGATAAACATCCTTCCAGAAAAACTGAGGAGTAATCTTTTACTTATTTTCCAAAGTCTCCCCTTTCCCTCCACAACCTGAAAAAAAAAAAAAGACTCACCCTTTTGATGTAGGGGAAATAATACAACTCTGAACCTGTTAGATGTCATATTTTGAGTTCGTGTTTCCCAAAATCAAAGAATAAATTCTCAGGAACAATGAAAGTTGAGAGTAGAAAAATTTATTGAAAGAGTTCCTGAGAGACAGGAGGGGACCTGAAAGTGGGTTGCCAGCAAACCCACATCTCAAAGGAAGTTTAATACAGCAAAATCATGATCAACCAATAAGATTACAAGTATAGCCACTTAGGTAATATCCATCCAATGGGGAGGCAGGTCATGTAGCAAGTGTACATGGAAAGAACAAAGACCTTTTTAGGAAGAGATGGATCAGGAGGTCCTGGTCACCCACCTGACTGACTGATGTCTGTTTAGACTTTTTTTTTTTTTTTTTGGTCTAGACTTTTTTGGAGCAGGTGACACCTATTATAGTATAATCTTCAATTTTTTGCTTATCCTGTGGAAAGGGATGTAGGCCTGGTCCTTCTGTATTTATCTTGAGGCCTGCTCTTCCATGGATGCACCTCCAGTGACAGTTCTGATGTGTTCACATCTTCTACACTGACTCCCTCAAGGGCATAGCCCTATCTGACTGCCTATGATATTTCCACCTAACTTAGGTGTCCATAATACTTTGATCAGATTAAGAAGCCGATTTGTGAGTTTTGTCTCTGTGCTTCTCCTATTCTTTGGCTAAGAATAAACCTTCCTTCACTGTTTGATGAAGTCTCGATGTTGGTTCCACAATTACAAGGGGCAGAAGGGTGCAGTTTGGGTCAGAAACTGGTACCCTTTTAATTTTCATTTCCACAGTGATTAGTGTTGGGAACCTTTTCATGAGTACATTGGCCATTTAGATATCATTTTTGGAGAAATATCTATTCAAGTCTTTTACTGCCTTTAAAAATTACATTACCTTTCTAATGGTGGGTGTCTTAGTTACTTTCTCATTGCTGGAACAAAATACTGGACACTCGCAAGTTATAGGAGGAAAGTTTTATTTTAGCTCACAAATTAGGAGAGGGTTCATTCCATAGTAGGCTGGCTCCAGGCAGGGCAACATGGCTGGAGGGACATTGCAGAGAGGAAATAGTTGACGATGTGACAGGCAAGAAGGAGTGCGCCTTCCTCCTTTCCCTTTTTATTCCATCCTGGCCACAAGCCTATTGGTTGGTGCCACCACATCCAGGGTGGGTTTTCCCTCTTCAGTAAATCCATCATCCACACCCAGAACTATGCTAAACCAGTCAGTGGACTAATCCAGTATCACCCACCCATGATCCAGTTACTCGCAAAAGCCCCACCTATGAGCACATGAGGCTATGGGATGATATCTAGATATAAACCATAATATTGAGCCATGAGAGTTTCTTATATGATGTTTCAAATATGAAAAATTTAAAACATTATTAATTAGGATACAACTAAACTGTCCCAAAGCACAGATTATAATACAATGGATTGAATAGACTGTGCTTATGTAACACTTAAAAGATGGGTGAATGGGGTCAGAGTGTAGCTCAGTGGCAGATAATTTGCCTAGCATAGAAAAGGCCCTGGATTCTATCCCAGCACCGAAAGAAAAAAATAAAACATGCAGTTAGTTACCATCGCTATCACATCAGGATGCATCAGGATCAAGTGAGGATCCGTTCCTTGGGGCTCTGAGCCTGTAAATGATGAGCAGGGTGTGACCTGCCCCTTGTCCCAGTCAATGTGCGGTCATGGAGTAAGAACAGAACCCTAAGCCACTGCTGCTGCTGATGTGGTTTCCCTGGCAGGAAGATGGAAGGAGGCAGACCTGAGTCCATGCCTGAAAGTCGTGCTGTGGGTTCCTCATGATCTCCCAATGTCCTGGCAGTTCCTCAGGCCCTGCCCAGTTTGGCTGCTGCTGGAGAGTCTAGCAGGCCTGGCCACTGTTTGGGATCATGGCTGGGAGTCTCTGTCCTCAGAGTCCCTCCGTGTTAGCTTGCATCCTAAACAAGACTAATATTTAAAAGTTTTATTTATTTACTGAAGTTTTTTGAGATAGGGTTTCAATATGTAGTCCAGGCCAGCCTTGAACCCGTGATGTTCCTGCCTCAACCTCCCAAGTGCTGAGATTATAGGCATGTTACAATACCCAGTTTAAAATCTTTAT